ACAGGTAGGAGCTCAGGCGATTGTAGACTGACAACAACCTTCTTGACCCTTAAGTCTGGCTTTCGCTCAGTACACTCCAATGAAACTGCCCTACTATAAAACTCAATGATTTACTAACTGCTAAAACCAATGGCCACTACTCACATACTCATCCCAACCCAATGGCCACTACTCCGTTTACTCTCGTATCCCAACCAATGGCCACTACTACGTACTCAGTTCCCAACCAATGGCCACTACTCCGTACTCTTAACTATTGAACCTCTCTGCGGCTTTTGATACTGTTGACCATCCCCTCCTCAAAAAAAACCTCCACTCTTGGCCTCAGAGACTCCGCTCTCTCCTGGTTCTCTTCCTGCCTATTGCAGCGCTCCAGTCAGCATTACCTATAACTCTGGCTCCTCCACCTCCCTCAAGGTTCTGTCCTTGGACCCCTTCTCTTCTCCATCTACACCTCCTCCCTTGGTCACTTGATAAACCTCCCATGGCTTTAAGTAACCATCTCTATGCTGATGATACACAAATCTATCTTTCTACTCACCCTTTCAGTCTCCTCTCGAATTACTAACCTACTAAGTGATCATATCGGCATGGATGTCACTCCACTTCCTCAAACTCAATCTTTCCAAAACTGAGCTCACCAGCTTGTTGCTGATCATTCTAACACCTGTCCAGAGGATGATGCGTCTCCCGATCATTAGAAGGATTCTCATTAGAACGTTCAGAAAATGGCCGCATGAAATTCTGAAATGATCGAGAAGAAGAAATGTGAATGTTTAGTCGTACCCCCCCTCCCCATAGATCCCCCAGTGTGTGGGAATTGTTCGGATTTATTTCTATCAGATCTTCTATATTGGACATGCGGAGCAGGTGTGCACTCAGCGATGTCTGTGTATGTAATGGAGAGCTCTGTTGGGGGGATGTCGGGTGGGGGCTCTCTGAGATGAGCCTTTGGGGGGGTGGAGATAAAGGAGGTCGCCGCCCATTATTCTTCTTCGGAGCGGCCTTCTGGGCTTAGCGCCTTCTTAGCTGCCGGCTTGGCCTTAGCGGGACTCTTGGCGCCTTTTTTCGGCTTGGCTGCAGCTTTGCTCTTCTTGGGGCTTCTTGGTCACCTTCTTGGCGGCAGCCTTTGCTGGTCTCTTGGCGGCCGGCTTCTTGGGGCTCTTGGCTGCGGTGGATGATTTGCTGGCCGCCTTCTTTCTTTGGGGGACTTGGCGGCCTTCTTGGGACTCTTGGCTGTGGTGGGGGCTTTGCTGGCCCCCTTCTTCTTGGGGGACTTGGTGGCCTTCTTGGTGCCGTTTCTTGGGCTTCGCCTTGGCGCCGTCGGGCTGCTTCTTGTTGATCTTGAACGATCCGGAGCCCCATGGCCTTTGACCTGGACGAAGGCTTCCCCTTAGTCACCAGTGCCTTGAGGGCGATCTTCATGGCGGCTCTTGTTCTTGTCCACATCGTATCTTCTCCGGCGGACAGGACCTTCTTCAGGGCGGCCAGGGACACCCCGCTGCGCTCCTTGGAAGCGGACACGGCTTGGACAAGGAGTTCGGACACGGCGGGACCGGACGCCTTTTTGATGCCTTTCTTGGCTCCTCCGGCTGACGCCTTCTTAGCCGGCTTCTTCTTGGCGGCGGCCTCCGCTGGAGGAGCGGCGGCTGGGGCGCTCTCAGTCTCCGTCATGACTCGTGAAATGTTTCTACAATACCCCTTTTCATTACGAATCACACGGCTCGCCTTATATACAGGACCTTCTAACCCTGCGATTGGTTGACACACAACTCAGCTCTGTCCTGCTATTGGTTACACATCACACACGCCCACTGGATGTCTCTCCACAGTCGGGGATTCTTCTCTCTCTCGTTGTGTTTCCCGGGCAGAGAGAAAACCGATTTTATTCGAAATAGAACGATGTCCGATGTGCACCGGGGAGCCGTTCTGCTCCCTGGACTGTCACTTATCGGGGGAGTCACTTCCAGCTGTCAGGAGCTGCTCACGAGGCTGAACACAGAGGCTGCAAAACGCAACCATCCTCCGGAGTGGGGGGCCCATTTTGCCTTCTACCTGCTTGGGGGGACACATTCTACCCACAAAACAATCTGCTCCCATCCCCCACTACAATCCGCTTCACATTACACGAGGGAAGAGGGGAGGATCGCCAAACATTTCCCTCTAATACACAACTCGGCTCATCTCTAGCTGACTACAAGGAGCCGGGAACAAAAACACATCGGCCGATCACAGGAGATCCTTGTGTCCTGTCATGGCAACATTGGGAGACATACAAAGGGCTCCGCCCATTACAGGGTGTCACGTGTCATGGCCTAGGGGGCATTATGGATCATCATCACAAATGGACATTGAGAGGCAGCAAATCCTGCCAATGACTTGATTGCCGCATTTCACTCCACAGCTCCATAGACTGCTCAGGGGGGGAGGTTTGCTCGGAATCCTCGGATCTACAATAGGATTTGATGCTTTCAGTGATGGAAGTCAATCCATCACATTTGGATTCCCTGAGAGATCATTTCAGGAATAGGAAGTTTGCTGCAAATCCCATTCTTGTCTATCATTGTGGGGAATGTGGAGAGGAAATGTCGGCTATTTGGAGGGGAATGAGCGGTGGGGTTCCTCTAAGACCAACACATGTCTACTGACCCTGACACTTCTTTTCTTTGTACTAACATGTAAAAGCCTCCAGGGTGTTCCCTTCTCCTCAGTCCAAGGAGAAAGAATTGCACCGACAAGAAGGGAATACACCAAACGATGGACCTGAAAAACAACAAAGTATCGCCGACAGGATTCACTTGTTACAATGATTCTAATCCGGATACAATTCCCTCCCCAGATAAGGGAAGACATGTACCCCCCCCCCCCCACCACACACACAACACACACACACGACATTTTGTTCATTTTCACGAGGTCCCACAGTAAGGATCAGATGCGAAAGTATATAACCATAGCAGTACTTGATAACAGTATGTTCATTTAGATAAAGAACGGTGTAACACTAGTCTATGTAGGGAGAGCTCAAATAACATGACTCATGAAGTGCAAGACAAAAGAATGTATCATCATCAAGGCATATCTGTCCTAAGTTTCCATAATCCGTAAAGTGTGGGCTAGTTTTGTGGATTATTGTTACACCTGTACATCTTATGAGTGTGCTCCGTATCTTATGACAAAGTATAGCTAGGTTAGAATATTGAGAAAAGGGGGTGCAAGAAGAGAGAAAGAAAAGAAAAGAGAGACGAGCGTGGGAAAGGTGCGGAAGAATATGCAATGTAATATCAGAATGAGGTGGGGGGGAACATAGAAGGACAAATAGGGAAGATGGGGTAGAGAAAAAAAAAAAGGGGGGGGGTGAGGATGAGGTTTAGAATTAAACAGGCATTAACCAAACCAATCACATCAATTAGCATCGCCTGGCTGTAACAGATTATATCTTTAATTAGGGGTATAATTCAGCGAAAGTCCATTAATGGGAGTCATTCCTGAGGTGAGAGTTCTAGAACCAAATGTTGAGTTGTCACCAGAATATGACCATAAAGAGTTAAATACATCACCTGGAGACTTCACCCCTTTGATGAATATGTCAGCTGTCATGCACGCTCCTCTCTCACCCCCAAGAGCACCGCTCCTCTCTATCCACAAAGCACGGCTCCTCTATCCGGACAGACTAACCTGCATATTGGGGGGATTGGGATTGATTGGCTTTGCAATGCTCAACACACTCCCATTAGGTGTCACTAATTACACAAAGATACAGGGCATGGATTTTGTTGTTACTTTAAATATGTTAATCTTTCTTCTCTGCTTGATACATTGTTGCAATCCATCGAACATTGATTCCTCCCAGAGATCATTTCAGTAATGAAAGACATTGCTGCTGGAAATCCTACAATTATCTGCCACTGTGGTGGATCAGGGGTCCCTTCTTTTGCTCAGAAAAAAACCAAGAAGAAAGGGGAATAGTATTAATATTATCTGATGATGATTATTATTGTTAATATTCCATGCTTAATATAGTGCCAACATTTGTGCAGTGCTGTAAAAAATATAAAGGAGACAAATACAACAATGCAATTCAATACAAGAGGGTTAGGAGGCCCTGCTTCAGGGAGCTTACAATCTAGTACAGAGGGGCTGGTGGAACAAAAGATAAATAACTGCAAAGAATAAACTGATTGGATACATTAAAGCTTTCCAAGGGAAATTGCTTTGGAATATACCCCCCCCCCCCCATACCCCCCCCCCCAAAAAAAAAAAAAAAATGTTTTTATACATTTTGGATTACATTTATGACCTAATTTATGACAACATTTTAGTTTTTTTGGATATTATTTATGACCCCCTCCAGAAATGAGAAAAAAAAATTCTAAATTTTCTGTCTGTTTTTTGTTTATTGTATGGGAAAAAAATGCGCTCAGGTGATCATATACTACTCATAAGATAAATTGATGTTTCTTTTTTAAAAAAAAGGACAGAAGTTGTAATTTATGTACAGCATTGTATGACTGCGCATTTGTCAGTTTAAACTAGCGCAGCGCTGTATAGCAAAAAATGGTATAAATTGTAGCTATGGGATATACCATAGTGTGTAGACGTATAAACTTCACACAATGCAATAAAAATATACACTTATTGGGATTTGTTTACCAAACACATGTAACAGAATACATTTTGGCCTAAATGTATGACTAACTTTGAGTTTACTATTAGTGATGATCGAAGTAGTTTCAAAAATTTGATTCGACTGATTCGGCGAATTCGTGGACTAATATTTGATTCGAGTCGAATATATTCGCTGTGAATTTAACTTAAAAAAGGGTGTTTCTAGGCTTCAGAGAAGAAAACTTTAATATTAGTGCAGAAACACTGTACCTTTTAATTAAAATGCCCTTGGAGTCTGCTGGGGGAAGAGAAATAATACGGTCAGTCAGTATGACATGCAGCAGATGAGTGCCGTCGATCTTAGAATCACCGCACACTTCACTCATTTGGGCCAGTCTAAACGGGGCCAAAAACCAGTGTTTGGAGCCACAGTGTGGCGGTGGAGGCAGCAGCAATGGGAGGCCATACAGCAACCTATACAAAATGAAACCAGCAGAGTGTGAGGGAGACCTCAAAGTGGCACATGGCAGAGTGGGAGCAATGGGAGCGGTACAGGACCCATGTCCACACTGTGGACCCAGCCACAGCGTGACGAGGCGGTACGGGGGCCGATGGCAGATTTGGGGCCTGGCATGCACCTATGGGAGGCCTGTAATCTGCCAGCAACCTATGACAAAATGGAAACCAGCAGGAAGTGTGAGGAGCGACCTGAAAGTGGCACATGGCAGAGTGGGAGCAATGGGAGGCTGGTACAGGGACACCATGTCACACTGTGGACCCCAGGCAGCAGCGTGACCAGGATTGTACGGGGCCCATTGGCAGATTACCAGCCTGGCAGCAGCACTTGGAAGGCCCGTAATCTGTCAGCACCCTATGACAAAAAAATGGAACACGCCAGCAGTGTGTGAGAGACCTAAAGTGGCACATGGCAGAGTGTGGCAATTGGAGACAGCAGCAGCAATGGGGAGGCCCGTACAGGGACCCATTGACAGACTCTGGACTTGGAGCACAGCATGAGGAGGCAGAGTATAGGGGCCCATGGCAGATTACGGGCCTGGGCAGCAGCTATGGGGAGGCCCGTAATCTGCCAGCACCCTATGTCAAAAAATTCAACACACCAGCAGTGGAGGAGGACCTGAAAGTGGCACATGGCAGAGGTGTGGCGATGGAGACAGCAGCAATGGGAGGCCCGTACAGGGACCCATGAGAGACTCTGGACCTGGCAGCAGCATGAGGAGGCGGTATAGGGGCCCATGGCAGATTAGGGGCCTGGCAGCAGCTATAGGAGGCCCGTAATCTGCCAGCACCCTATAACAAAAAATTCAACACACCAGCAGTGTGTTAGGAGACCAGAAAAGTGGCTGTCAGAAATGGACTGGCCAGCTATGGTGGGACTCAATTGCCTTTTGATCTGCAGTACCCAGGGCTGGCAGCGGGTATTCCCAGCAATCAGAGACTCAACTTTGCAGCCAGCTAACACCTGGAACTGATTATGCTGGGGTATTTAAGGGATGGCCAGACCCACAGACTCTGCCTTGGTGTGTGTTTGTCCTGGGCCCTGCATCCTGTTTCTGTCCTGCATCCTGTTTCTGTCCTGCATCCTGTTTCCTGAACCACTGCTGACGTCTCCTGCTCTCTGATCCCGGCTCGCTCCTGACCATCCCTCTGTCTGACCCTCTGTACCACGCTGCTTGCTACCTGTTCTGATCCCTTGGCTTGTGACCCTGACCAATCTCCGATTGCTACCCCCTGTACCTACCTGCCCTATTGATCTTCACCCCACCGGCCTGCCTGACGACGCTTGCTTGTATGTACTGTTATCTGTGGGTGGTGTTTGGTTTGGTTTGTTTGCACTGTACTTATGTTATTAGTATAGCACTGCGTTTAATGTTTGTAATTGTTTAGTGTTATATAAAAAATAATATTGTTTATCAAACATTATCTGAGGTCTGCGGTTTCCCTGCGACAGTTCACCACATCTCTGGTCACACCTGGAAGACCCAGACCATTACAACCAAGGCCAATCCTGACCAGCAAGTGGCCTGCACAGGGAAGCCATCGTGGCTTGTTGATGGGAAGGATGGATCAAGGATGCAGGTTGAGTATATCATCTCTGCTAGTGCTTGATGACTGAGAGTATGCTTATCAGGACTCTCTGAGGAGTATCCCCGGGATGAACTGCTAGAATTTATCCGGCTACCACTCATGTTCTTGTAGATCGGGCACAGATTTCTCTATGGTGCTTGCAGCCATTGATTCAGGTTAGGGTTGAGTTGGTTTCATCTGGTGTTCCCCAGAATGCAGGGATGAATTTTGCCTCCAATTTAGTGCAGGACCAGGTTGAGTCCCTGGCGGGGTTATTAGAGGATGATGTGGGTTACTTTCTGGGCGTTTTTCCACGTTCCCACGACACTAAGAGTTGTATAAACCAGTGCAGTCATTGACCAGACAGGCTTTGTGTAAGCTCAGCTTTGTTAAACCCCTACTGCGACATGGAAAACTTTTTGCCCCGTTTCAGTCAGCTTAAAAAAAACCAGTCCTGCTTAAAAACTCTACTCTGTTTCCCCACCGCCCCTCCAGTTACACCCCAAAGTATACTTGGCTATCTACCGCATGTATCCCTTTTTCCCCTCGCTGCCCCCTACCCTGCCCTTTAACCCTGTAAAAAAGCCCTCTGTACAACTGCCCCCTCCCCTGCCCCTCCCTTTTTTCTCTGTCCCCAGTGCTCCATTCGTTTGCAGACCTGCGTTTACTTGCAGTGCTCCGTATTTAAACCAGAAAAATGCGAAAAAATTTTTTCCAACCAATACCACCTGCCAGTATCCAAACCCGGGTTTAACCCGCTTCCCCGGGCCAGCTGAAGCCCCTACTCGCCGGATGCCTTCTTTTGCCGGGTTCCCCCTCCTCGCCTATGCCTCTCCTCAGCCGATGCCTTCCTCAGCCGAAGCCTCTTCCCTGAAGCCCTCCTCAGCCTAAGCCTCTCCTCAGCCTGAAGCCTGCTTCACCCGATGCCGCTACTCGCATGATGAACTGATCCCGCCCCCGGGTCCTTTAGGGCAGTTACTTTTGATCCCCTGTTGATCCAGTATCCGGTACCTGATCCAGTGCCCCTGTCGTGCCAATTGCTCAGGCCCGCTGTCTTTCCCGGTGACCCGGTGCCCACTGCCTTGCCCAAGACGCGGTGCCCGCTGGAAGCCAAATGACCCGATGCCTGGTGACCCCGTGGCCCGCTGTATACCTGGTGACCCGATGCCCGCTTTGAGCCCCCGACAATCCCATACCTAGACCCCGGTGCCCACTGTCGTGCCGTTGAAATCGGAGCCCACTGTCTTGCCGAGACCCCGGTGCCCGCAGTTTGCCGCGACTCGGGGCCCGCATTTGCCAGCGACTCGGTGCCCGCAGTCTTCCAGACGACTCGGGGGCCCCCAGCTTGCCAGGACTCGGTGCCCCCATCTTGCCCGAGACTCGATGCCCCCAGTCTTGCCAGGGAATCGATGCCCGCAGCCCTTTCCAGCGCTCGGGGGCCCGCAGTCCCCCAGTTTTACTCATGCCCCCTGTTCGCCTTTTACTCGTTCCCGCTGTTCCGCCAGTTGCTCGGTGCCCGCAGTCTTGCCAGACGATCGGTGCCCCATCTTGCCCGCGACTCGGGGCCCGCATTGAACGACTCGGGGCCCGCGTCTTGCCAAAAACTCGGTGCCGCTGTTCCGCCGTTGACTCATGCCCGCAGTCTTGCCCCACTCAAGCCTGCTGTTCCGCCATTTTGGTCCCTGCCCGCGTTTGCCGACGACTCGGGGCCCCCCGGTTTCCCCCAGTCGACCGGTGCCCGTGTTCCGCCAGCGACTCGGTGCCCGCTTTTTTGCCAGACGACGTGGTGCCCCCCGGTCTTGCCAGACGACGCGGGGCCCCCCAGGCTTTCCAGAGACTCGGTCCCCGTGTTCCGCCGTTGATCATGCCCCGCAGTTTGCAGACGAACCCCGGGGGCCCCGCGTCTTGCCAGACACTCGGTGCCCGCAGTCTTGCCGACGACTCGGTGCCCCCAGTCTTGCCAGACGACTCGGTGCCCCCAGTTTTGCCCCGCGATCGGTGCCCGCTGTTCCCCAGTTGGTCCGATGCCTGTGCCCCACCGGGGGGGGCCCAGGCCCCGTCCCCTTGGGGGTCCGGCCCCGCCCCTCCGCCTGAGGGGCCCCAGACCTGTAGTTCTGCCGGGGGTCCGGCGCCCGCCGTCGCTGGGGGCCCGGTGCCCGTGCCCCCCCTGGGGGCCCGGGGCCCGTCGCCCCGCCCGGGGGCCCGGTGCCGTCGCCCCCCCCCGGGGGGGCCCGGTGCCTGTCGCCCCGCCCGGGGGGGCCGGTGCCTGCCACTCCGCCTGCTGGCCCGCGCCGCTGCTTCGCCTGGTAGCCCCTGTGCCCCTGCCCCGGGGGCCTGCCGAGGGGCTCTGCCCGGAGTACTCCCCTTTTGCCTTGCTGGAGTCCTGCCCCTTGCCCCTGCCCGGAGTCCCCCCGATGTGCCTCTGCCCCCTTCCCCCCGGTGCCTTGCCCGATGTGCCTCTGCCCCGGGGGCCAGCCCATGTGCCTCTCCCAGTCCAGCCCCGGGGTGCCTTCCCGGTGTGCCTCGCCCAGTCCACCCGATTGCCCTCTGCCCGGAGTCCGCCCCAGTGCCTCTGCCCCGGGGTCCGCCCGATGTGCCTCTGCCCCCAATCCCGCCCGTGTGCCTCTGCCCGGGTCCAGCCCCATGTGCCCCCTTTCCCGGTGTACGCTGCCCGGAGCCCGCCCGGGTTGCCATCTTTGAATCCCGCCCGTACCCGACCCGGGGGGGTGGAAAAATTTTTCCCCCGCTAGGGCTGTTTGGGGGCGGCCCGGGCCGCTCCCTTTGGGGGGGGGGTTTTGTCGGGTGGGCTGGCCAGCTTGGGGATCCCTGCCTTTTTTCTGCAGTACCAGGGTGGCCCCGGGGGTGTTCCCGCAATCAAGATCAAATTTTCGCCGTAACACCTGGAAAAATGATTATTGGGGTATTTTAAAGGGGTGGCCGACCCCCCAGACTTGCCCTTGGTGTGTGTTTGTCCTGGGCCTGTATCCTGTTTCTTCCTCATCCTGTTTTTGTCCTGCATCCTGTTTCGAACCACTGCTGCTTCTCCTGCTCTGTCCCGGTCGTCCTGACCATTTTCCCCCTGTCTGACCCCCTGTACCCCCGCTGCTTGCTACCTTTTTTCTGATCCCTGGTTGTGACCCTGACAATCTCCGCTTGCTCCCCCTGTACCACCCGCCCCATGATCTTGACCCCCCCCTGCCTGACGACGCTTGCTTGTTGTACTGTTATCTGTGGGTGGTTTGGTTTGGTTGCATGTATTATGTTTTAGTATGCACGCATTTTTGTTTGTATTTTTTGTGTTTTAAAAATTATATTGTTTTTTAACCCCTATTGGGTCTGCCGTTTCCCTTCGTCAGCACACATCTTGGGCCCCCCTGGGGGCCCTGACAGGGCACCCTGGCGAGTGTGGCGATGGAGACAGCAGAATGGGAGGCCGACAGGGCCCATGAGAGATCTGGACCTGGCAGCAGCATGAGGAGGCGGTATTTGGGGGGGCCCCTGGCGATTAGGGGCCTGGCAGCGCATAAAGGGGCCCGTAAAACTGCCCGCACCCTATGCAAAAAATTCAAAAACCCAGCAGTGTGAGGGGACCCGAAAGTGGAAAATGGCAGAGTGTGGCGATGGAGACAGCAGCAATGGGAGGGCCGTACAGGGACCCATGACAGACTCTGGACTTGGCAAGCAGCATGAGGAGGCGGTATAGGGGCCCATGCAGATTAGGGGCCTGGCAGCAGCTATGGGAGGCCGTAATCTGCCAGCACCCTATGACAAAAAATGGAACACACCAGCAGTGTGAGGAGACCTGAAAGTGGCACATGTTTGGGGCATGATTCATGGCGGATTTAGTCAGTTGTGTCAGGAACTGGTGGTTTGAAATCCAGACTAATCCACGCCCTGATTCATTTTCACAAACGTGAGTCTCTCCACACTTTGGGTGGACAGTCGTGTCCTCCGCGGAGTTACAATACCTCCTGCCGCACTAAACACGCGCTCCGATGCAACGCTACTGGCCGGGCATGACAGCCTTTCAAGGGCAAATTCAGCTAGTTGGGCCAAAGGTCAAGTTTCGTTGCCCAGTAGTCAAGGGGATTGTCTACCTCGGTTGGCAGGGTGCTGTCCAAGTAGGCCTAAGCCTGTTGTTTGAGGTCC